GGGGATTTTGAGAGAAAAAGCAGAAAAAAAAAAAAGGAAGATTGGCAACAGTTCTTAGCTCAGGTGCCAATTTTTTTTTTTTTTAAAAAAAAGGTAAAACATAACTATTGTCACGAGGATGAGGTCTGGAGGCATTAGCCCCTGAGACATGATTCCTTCTCTAAGTAGGAGGTCAGCACTCAGTTCTCGGGGTCTCTCCATCAGGACAAGGCGTCTGGACCCACTGCTCTCTAAGGTCCCTTCCAGATACAACATTCTCTGCCCTGCCCAGGGCCCAAGCTGCTCACCTCTGTCCTCGCCCTGTGCAGCTGCCTCCTCCTCCTGCTGGCACTTTGCCTGTTCCTCCTGTGCCCGCTGCCGCTCCAGTTTTTTCATCAGCTTGAGATCCTTCCACTTCTTTTTCTCCTCTTTCTCTGGATAAGAAGACATCCCAATTGGTGGAGGGAAGAGGGACTTGGAGCAATCCCGGAGATGGTGCCCTCTCCATAGGGTCAGCCTGAGCTCTCCAGTGCTGCTGCTGGGTGAGCAGCCAGAGGAACCTCCCAGGACTTCTAGCCCCTTCCTCCCCATTTTGGGTGCTGTGGGACCCACAGGGGACAAACCTGGGGGCTCTCCCTAATGTTCAGCTGTGCACTGCTGGAATGGCCTGGGGAAAGGGTGAGCACAGACTCCCCCCTCCACCAAACTCCCCAGCCCCTTACTTACTCTGTTTCTTCCATTTTCGCCACTCGACTCTTTGCCCGTGTTCACCCTGGAGTGGGAGTGGGAAGAGGTACAGGAGTGAGGCTAAATGGTCAACGTGGGAGGAGTCCCACTTGCTGCTCCACAGCTGTCTCCTCCCTCTAAATGGGGGCGGTGAGGAAACCAGGGAACCCCTACACGCTGCTGCCCCAGGGAGAGCGAGGCAAGGACCTGCTGCACCCCAGTCCCTGAGACGACACTTGGCATACAGCAGGCACTGAATAAGTTGCTGAATGAGTTCCCACTGGAGAGAAGAGAAAACTGAGGCTCAGGGGAACAAGACCTGCGCACGCCACCCTGGGAGTCAGAAGAGACACGCCACGAAAGGGATCGGGATTGTGAGTAGGGTCCCACCTCCCGAATCCGGGCCGGCCAGAGGAGCCTCGAGGGCGTCCGACAATGGATGACCTGCCGCTGTCCCGGCTCTGGCTCAGACCCCGGCTCCCACCTCCGGTTCTCATCGGGGCGGGGGCGCACGCGGCCACGAGCATGCGGCACCTCGGGGCTTCTGGCCCCAGATCAGCGAGAAGTAGGGAGCGGGGTGCGCGGCCCTGCCCTGCACGCGGCGCGTCCTCATGCCCCCACGCCGGTCCTGCTTCGGGATCCCAGCTTCTACCACCCACCGGGCCGCAAGGCCGCTTCCTCAAGCGTTCCGCCATGTTCGCCGCACGTCTTCGCCCACGCCCAGCCAATCACTCTCACCCCTTCCGGCCACACCTCCTCCGAGCTGTCCAATCGGGGAGCCAGCGGCGCGCGGGGGCGTGGCCTAGGCGCCTGGCTGCTGGGGGAGCGCGTGGGCTGGGCTGGGCTCCCCGGGCGCGCAGTGCCCGAGCTGGGTGGGCGGGGCTCATGGCCGGCCTGGGGTTTAAATGGGCAGCGTTTTGGGTACTGTCCTGGTCCCTTGGACGACTGGAGAGCCGCTCTCTGGCTCTGGACGACCACGACACTCAAACCTCAGCTTGGTTTTATACCTGGGGACCCTGACGCGCAGAGTTGGAGTGTGATTCAGATCTGGAAATGACCTTAGAGATAATTTAATCCAGTTCTTTTATAGATTCGTTCATTTACTCCCTCTTAATTAGCAGACTTTAGTTTTTAGAGCAGATTTAGGTTTACCGAAAATCGAGTAGATAGTACAGAGAGTTCCCATATAACCTATCTCCCCCACTTGCTTTCCCCTGGTGTTAACATCTTGTGTCAGTGTGGGCATTTGTTATAGTTAATGAACCGGTATTGATACATTGTTATTAACTAAAGTCCATAGTTTACATTAGGGGTCACTTTTTGTGTTGTACACTCTGTGGGTTTTGACAAATGCGTAAAGTCATGTATCTACCATGCATACGTGGTACTGTAATATCATACAATATAGTTTGACTGACATAAAGATGCTCTGTGCTCCACTACCCTCCTCCAAGCCCCTGGCAACCACTGATCTTTTTGTCCCTACAGTTTTGCCTCTTCCAGAATGTCATATAGCCGGGATTAGACAGTATGTAGCCTTTTCAGACTCCCTTCTGTCCTTAAGCAATATGCATTCGAGGTTCCTCCATGTCTTCATGTGGCTTGATAGCTAATTTCTTTTTATTGATAGGTACTATTCCATTGTATGGCTATGCCAGTTTATCCACTCACCTTTTGAAGGACATTTGGTAGCTTCCAGTTTTTTTGTTTGATTTTGGTGAGGAAGATTGGCCTTGAGCTAACATCTGTTGCCAATCTTCCTCTTTTTTTGCTGAGGCAGATTGTCACTGAGCTAACATCTGTGCCAATCTTCCTCTATTTTATGTGGGATGCCTGCCACAGTGTAGCTTGACAAGCGGTGCTAGGTCCATGCCTGGGATCCAAACCGAACCCTGGACCACCGAAGCAGAGCACGCAAACTTAACCACTACACCAGCAGACGGGCCCCTGGTTGCTTCCAGTTTTGGGAAATTATGAATAAATATGCTAGAAACATTCATGTGCAGGTTTTTATGTGCACATGAATTTTCAGCTCATTTGGGTAAACAGCCAGGAGCCCGACTGCTGGATCCTACAATAAGACTATGTTTACCTCTGTAAAAACTGCCAAACTGTCTTCCAAAGTCATTATTCCATTTTGCATTCCTGCCAGCGATGAATAAGATAAGTTTTTAAAAAATTAATATATTTGAGCCAGGATTCATTCAATCAACAAATATTTTTGAGCAAGGTCTATTTTGGGGCAGGAAGTCCTGCGCTAACCGCCAGGGACATAATGGTAAGCGAAAGCAGATACTGATCTGCAGTTTACAGCCTGGCGGAGGAGAGGTTAATTTCTAATTCAATACATGTGTTAACATTCCAGGGGGGTTTATTTCGCCATTCTTCCCTCCCCTATCCGAATGAGAAAGCAAAGTCATTCTTGCATCTGAGGGAAGCTCTACCGTGTCAGGCTTTGTGAGGTTACTGAGTCTAAGATCTGGAAATCTGTGGAGTCACAGATTTGAATTATAGGCAGATTCTGGAATGGTTCATGAGACCTAGAACCTTGGTCAGGGTGGTTCCGCCTAAGAAGTCTATGGGTTTACCCCGTCGAGGACTTTCTTACCATCAGCCTATGTGTAGTATGGCAAAGGGGCTCCAAGCCTGAGCCTCTGGTATTTTTGTCACCGACTAATTGCCCTGAGGAACTCAAGGGTGGGTTCAGAAGCATTTAACTTTAAGAGATCAATCACCAACCACCCTGAACCAGACCGAGCTCCACCACCAGAGCTATGTCTGTGGCCTTTGCTTTTTTTAATGCTAAGGTCTCTCCACGAGGAGCTTAGGCCTTATTACCGTCACCTGCAGTGTATGTGGAAGCGTGTTTTCCAACTGAGCCTGCGCGAGTGAATACCCACCTGCCCCTTTTGAATATTCATGCCTCATCGGAAATAAAACGTCCCTGCTTCCCTTTGTTCCGGGAGAACCAGGACTTTGGAAATGACTCCACGTGGTCTCCTATTTGCCGCAAATATCCTTTACTTTGCGAGACAACTACTTCTGGTGGAGAGTCTGATTTACCTCGCCAGGAGGGAACCCACTTTGGTTTCGGCAACATTTCCATGAGGCCGTCAGGTTCAATAATTGGCTGAAACGATTCACAGCCCTTGGGAAAGTACTATACTTATAATGACAGTTTTGTGATAAGGGCTCTGCCTCAGGAGCGGTCCCATGGGAAGGGTATACAGAGTGAGGCCTCGGGGGACGGGGTGAGCGCTCCCCGCCCTCTCCAGATGTGCTGCCTCCCAGCACATGGATGTGTTCCCAAACCCAGAAGCTCCTTGAGCCTCACTGATGCAGGGTTTCTATGTGGGGTTTTGTCACGTATGCATCGTTGATTAAATCATTGGCCATGTGACTGAATTCAATGTCCGGTCCCTTTCTCCTCCCTGGGGGCCTGGTGCTGGGGCTGAAAGTTCTAACCCTCTAATCACATGGTCAAGCGGACTCGGTAGGAATAACACAAGATACTCCTATCCCTCAGGAAATTCCAAGGGCTTTAGGAGCTCTGTGCCAGGGATCAGGGACAAAGACCAAATATGCTTTATTTTACCATATGTTCCCGTCAGCTCCCCCAATTAAATATATGATATGAGCAAAACCCACGGGCTTGCTCTGCAAATGCTACTTCAAGACAAGTCCCCAGCACCACCTCTCAAAAGAACTCAGGAGCTGCCATTGCTTTCCAGGAGGACGCCCATCCCAGGGATCAAATCCCATCTACCTTTGCCAGCTGGATGGCCTTGGGCAGTCACCTCACCTCCCAAGTGGTTTCCTCTCTTGTAAAATGGAGACAGTAACTCCTGTCTCAGAGGGTTGTTTAACAAGCTGATGGGCATCAAAGTGCCTGGCACACAGGGGTGCACAAGAACACCGGCTACCTCCTTCCTCTCCTGTCTCATTGTGTCATCCCTGGCCCTCCTGGCCTGCACTCTGACCCCTGTGGGAGGGGCCTGTCCGTGTCTTCCCTCTCACTCAATGGAGGCCGCTATCTCCTACACACACACACACACACACCAGTAACACAGACCATCTGAGCCCTGGTTCAGGTTCGAGGCCTGGCTTGACCATTAACTAACTGTGTGACTTTGGAGAACTCCCAGGTCCCCATCTTTGGGCCTCAATTTTACTCCACAAAACATTTCTGTACAAAGAGGGGCTGGGATCTGAGTTCGCTGGGGTGCCTTCCATCCTGACCACGTCCCCATCCACAAGTAGCACCCGAGTGTGAAGCATAGAGAAGCAGCTAAGAGTTTGGTTACTTAAAAGTTTATTACGGGCAAAAGGTACTGGCTCGAGGACTCAAGCCAAAGGCAACTTCCCAAGGCCGAGGTTAGATAAGGAAAGGGAGGGATGCCCGAGCCTCAGCTGGGGCCAGCTCAGGGCTGGGGGTCAAGGCCAGAACACTGTCGTATTCTGCCCACTGAGTCCCAGCCAAGACAGGGGAGGCCCAAGGGGACCCAAGACCCTATGACCCAACCTGGGGAGGGGCAGGGAAAGGCACAGGTCAGGCCTCCCTCACCTCTGTGACAGGAATATAGGCACCATGGGGAGGTGCTCCTGACTCCCCCAAGACCAAGAAGGGGGCTCTTCCCTGGGGACATTCTGTGTCACAGAGAAGGTGTCCACCAGGACCATCTATCCCCAACCTGGGAGTGGCTCAGACTTGGACAAACACGGAGGCCTGCAGAGCGTGCGGGACCAGGTAGGGCGGGGCCGAGGGGGCAACGTCAGGGCCCGAGCTCATCCTTCCACTTCTGCAGCTTCTTGTCCATGGCCTGGAGTGTGGATTCATCCTGCACCAACACAGACGGGTCTGACCCTCTCCCCACACCCCCAGCGGGCCTTGGGAAGCTCGGGGAGCCCTTCCCTCCTCCAGCCCTGCCCTTTACCTTCACAAAACAGATGCGGATATAATGGTCAAAGTGCTTGCGATGGGGCGCACTGTAGAAGATGGAGACCGGGATGGCCCCCAAGCCCTGGAGAGGAGGGAACGCATGCTCAGCACAGCCCCACAGCCCGCAGGCCTCGGCGGGGGGATGGAGAGCTTCCACGATGGGCGGGGGAAGGCCAGCTAGCTTCAGTGCAGCGCCCTCCAGTGCCGTGTCAACGTCGGAGGAAAAGAAACCCAGAGCATCATTCCAAGTCCCTCGTTGTGTACAGAGGGCAGATGGGGGCCGAGAGGGGGGACAATTATGTGGCAGGTCCGCGCAGAGCCAGAGAGGAAATGAACCTTAGAACCGTAGCTCTGAGCTGGATGGATCAGAGTTAATGGGCCAATGCCTCACTGAACAAAGGGAAGACCAAGGCCCTGAGAGAGCAGGAATTCTTGCCAGCCCACATGGTATCTTTGTGCAAATTAAAAATAGACTCCTTATTCCTTGAAATGGATGCAACCCTGTACCAGGGCTCCTCGCAGAGGCTGGGCTGGATTTTGGCCCATGAGCCCCTTGGTCGGGCACCCTTGAACAGTGCACAACCTGTAAAACCATATCCTAGGGGCTCCGGCAGAGGCCCAGCCTACCTTGTTCTTTATCATCCACTTGACGAAGCGGCTGTCGTACGGCTCATCTGTAGCGCCTGGCAAGTCAGGCATCTTGCTCTCTGCCGGACAGAGGCCATGCTGAGCCCTGGGCAGCCTCCAGCCCCCGGGACTCTGCCCAGCCTGGCCACTCCCACTCACTCAACTCCGAGATGTCCGTGATGAGGAAGTAGCTGCCCTGCGGGATGATGGGCCTCAGGCCCACGGACTGCAGGCTTCGCATCACGTGGTCGCGGCTGCGCTGTGAGGCCTGTTGAAACTGCACAAAGTAGCTGCTGGGTTGGCCAAAGTGCAGCTGCTCCCACTCGAAGCTCTCGGCTACTGCGGCCTAGGGGGATGGACGAGCAGTCAGGCGGGACCTGACCCTGGAGCCCTCCTCCCCCCACCGAGGGGTCCCCTGCCCCTCCTCACCTGGGCCTGCGTGGGACAGTGAAAGATAGAGTTCTGGTGTACAGTGTGCAGGTGCTTCAGGAGACGACCCGGGCCCAGCACCCAGCCCACCTGGACCAGGAGCACAGGTAGGGGCTGAGGTCCTTCAGGGCCTGGCCAAACCTGTTCTTAATTCCCAGGCCAGCCTCACCTGCCAAGGATCATAGCGGGGAGGGGTTACACCCACCCTCATCAACTCACCTTCCAGCCAGTGGCACTAAAGGTCTTGCCAGCGCTGCCAATGGTCAGGGTGCGATCCCACATGCCAGGAAGGCTGGCTGCCCAAAGTCAAAGAGAGTAGCTGCTGAGATGGGGGAGGGGCGTCAAAGGGCTGGGGGGGGCGGTCCCCGTGGGCACTCAGGCTCTCAACACCCTCACTCCGTTCTGTGCTAAGTTATTTACAGGACTTATTTCAGCTCATCCTGACGGCAACCCTGGGAGGCAGGTGCCATTGTGTTTTCCTGTTCTCGGAGAGGTGAAGTCACTGCCCCAGGTCAACCACTTGTGTGGCTCCTCCCACCCCTCAGTCCCAATCACCAGGCCTCTGCTGACTCCCAGATTGGGCTCAACGTCCTGCCACAAGTGTCCAGGGGAATGGGGGCACCCTGGCTAGCTCGGCTCACCGATGCTGACGTGCTGATACCCGTCGTAGACCAGCCACTGGTAGACCTCATCGGCGATGCAGACCACGTCATGCTGTTGGCACAGGCTGGCCACCAGCTCCAGCTCTGCCCTGGAAAACACCTGTGGGGCCCGTCCCCAAACAGAGAGCCCTGCTCAGGGCGATGCAAGGATACAGCCAAACCCAGTGCTAAGGGCTTTTCTGCTCCATCCTACTGAATCCCCGTGTTGACCCTGCGAGGCCTGTGTGAGATCATAGAAAACACATGTATTGGTCTCTGCCCCCAGTTCCTGGCACAGAGCTCCTGAAACCCTTGTAAATTCCTAAGTGCCAAGAGCACTAGGAGCATCTTTTGCTCTAATGAGGTGACTCTGGGTGGGCTCCTGGATGGGGGCTGCTCACCAGAAAGGGCAAGCCATGATTAGAAGTTTGGAATTTTCAGCCCCGCCCCCCATCCTTCAGAGAGGGGAGAGGGGCTGGAAACGGAGACAATAATTGATCCCGCCTACGTGAGGAAGCCTCCAGAAAAATCCCAGTCGTACGAGCTTCCAGGTTGGTGAACAATCCACGTACTGAGCGGGTGACACACCCCAACTCCACAGGGACAGAAGCTCCTGTGCTCAGGACCCTCCCTGACCTCACCCTGTGTATCTCTTCATCAGGTTGTTCAGCTGTGTCTTTATCACCTAAGTGTTTCTCCGAGTTCTGTGAGCCGCTCTAGCAAATTAATTGAACCTGACGAGGGGGTTGCGGGAACCTCAGATTTATAGTCCCAGGTCAGAAGCACAGGTGACAACCTGGACAGCATCTGAAGTGGGCTGGGGGCAGCCTTTACCTGTGGGAGCTGACACTATCTCCAGACAGACAGCGTCAGATTTGAATTGAGTTAAACTGTAGGACACCCAGCTGGTGTCACAGAATCGCTTGGCGTAGGGGGACCCCTCCCCCCATATCCGGCGTCAGAGCGTTGTGAGTGAGGAAGTAGTGTGAGAGAGAAGAAGAAACACAGGTGGAAGATGGACCATTCCTTTACATGGATTGGTTCTGTCATGTTCCCATTTTACAGATGAGAAAACCCTCCGAGAGTTGAAGTCACTGTCCCAGGGTCACAGGGAAGTAATGGGGGCACCCCTTGGTGGTGCTGGGCTCTGCCAGCCCAAACCCTGACGCCTTCCCCAGGGATTCCTGCCCTGTCCCTGGGACCCCTGGGAGACCTGGTCCTCTGAGCTCATTGCAGGTAGTCCTCCCACCTCACAGATGAAGAAACTGAGGCCCCGTGGCAGCACAGCAGTAACAGAGCAGGGACACCTCGTCTGCAGGGGTCTGCGGAAGGGGTGTCTCAGGTACCTTTCCTAGGGGGTTGCTGGGAGTGTTGAGGATTAGGGCTTTGGTGCGAGATGTGAACTTGCTGGCCAGCTCCACGGGGTCCAGCTGCCAGTCGCTGCAGGAATCCAGTTCCCCATCCCGAGTGGGGCTCTGCAAGAGGAGGTAGGGGGGGATGGCAGTATTCACCTCCCTGACATTCAGCACTAGGCATTTGTCCCCACCCTCTCTCCTCTGGGGCTCTGGACACCGCTCTCCCCATCCTGGAGGAACTGGCCTCCTTCACTTCCTTCCCCCCTTTCCCATCTCCCAGGGTCCAACGCAGCACACTCCTTGGACCCCGCTGCCCACCCAAGCCCCAACCATCATCCTCACCGGCTTCAGCGACACAAACACAGGGCGACCCCCCGCCATCAATGTCATGGGCTCATAACAGTCGAAAAACGGCTCAATGATGATGACCTGGTACAAAGGTCGGATCAGCTGGGGTCAGCACCTCTGTGACCCCTCACTCCCACCCAGCCCTAGCCTTGCCCACTTGCCTCATCTCCTTCATCCACCAGGGCCTGGAAGGCTGTGAACAGGGCCCCGTAGGCACCCACGGTCACCAGCACGTTCTTGCGCGGGTTTATCTCCTGTCCGAGAAGCTTCCCAAAGAAACTTGCCAGGATCCTCGTCAGTGGTGGGTAACCCTGCCAGCACAGCAGGGGTCAGCTGCCTGGCTCAGCCTGGCCCTCCCTCCTGCTCAGTGGCATCCAGCCAATTCTAGCACCTTCCAGAAGCAGGCCTGGGGGCAAAGTCAGCTCCTGTGGAGTGGGTTCTTTCATTTCTTCTGTCAGCGCTTGCCAGGGAGCCTGATCTGTGCCAGGCCCAGCGCCAGGGCTGGGACTTGGTGGAGAACCAGACAGGGTATGTGCCTTCCTGGGGCACAGTCCAGCGGAGCCCCAGCGTAGGAGCAGCTCCACACTTGAAACACCTCCCTTCAAGTTGAAGAAGCACATTCGTGCCATCTGATCCTCCCAGCAGCCTTGCTGGAGAAGTATTATTTGATCCCCACCATTTGACAGGTAGAAAAATAGAGACCCAGAGGAAAGGAAACAACTTGCCCAAGGTCATGCAGGAATAGGACTTTTGTTGCAGCTTTGGAAGCACCCTGCTTTGAGAGGAAGATTGGATCCATATGCCTGTTTGCTGAGGACACTTATAAAACACTCAAGGCCAAGCCAAGCAACCGAAACCTGAGGTCTAGAACCTAACTAAATCATTCACTAAACCAGATGCGACTACATAAAAATTAAAAATTTCTGTACAGCAAAATATACCATGAGCAAAGTGAAAAGACAAAAAAACACTGCAACATAAGAGAAAGAGGTAAGATATTTAATATATAAAGAGCTCTTACAAAGCAACAAGACAACGTAGACACCCAAATGAAAACATGGGGTAGGTCTTGAAAGAAAAAGTGCTGATTCCCAATAAGCAAATGAAAAGAACTTTCCTGCCAGCTCTGAGACTAGTCTGTTGGTAGGGATGTGAGTAAACCTTACTGGAGGGCAATTTGACAATATCCATTACGTTTCAATGCTTACAACGTTTGATTCCCCACTTTTACTTCTAGGGATTTATCTGAGAGAAACACACGTATGTGTGCAAAGACATACACACAGATATTCACTGTGGCATTGCTTATAATAGTGAGATATGCAAACCAGCCCATCAGTGCAGGACTGGTGACATAAATTACAGCACATGTAGGCAATGGAATACTATGCAGCCACGAAAAAGCATGAGGCTATTTCGACATGTTGTCCAGGACATATTATTTAGTGAATTCCGACAGGTAAACTTGTCCATGACATGCTGTTTAATGAGATAAACATGTTACAGAAGATTATTTATAGTATGAGTCCATTTGTATTAAAAAAATGCAAATCTCACGTGTGAGTACATGCGTGTGTGTGTGTGTGAGGAGGTATTTATATAGCATCTAGTAAAGTTAAAAGTTAAAAAGTCTAAACACTCTCGGCAAAGCAGCCAACTGCTGGCAGTGGTTATCCGTGGACGCTGGAACTGGAGGGAACTTCATCCAGGAAGTTCTCATGCATGCCAAAGTTTAAGAATGAGGCTCTCCTCCAAGGGGTGCCAAATATTTACTCTGACACTTTGCAGAAAGAGTTTGGATTTAGAGTCAAATCAATCAGCAGCTGTCTCTTAGGGCTCAGCTCAGGTGTCACCTCCTTCAAGAAACCTTCCCTGATCTCCCGGGTTTCATTCCCTCCTTCCTGCTCCCACAGATAACCCCATCCTCCTCCATCACAGTGTATCAACTGCCTTTGTTTTCTGCTTTTGTGTTGTTTTTCTGTCTGCCTTTCCCCAGACCATGAGCTGTCCCAGGGCCTGGAACACAGGGGACACTCAGTGAACACTGAACTATGGTCAGACTCAATTTCCTGGGCTCTGCCCCATGAACCCTGACACCCAGGAGGGCTTGTGCCCAGAAAGGCCTGCTCCTTCCTCCCCCCGGGCCTCCTAGAGGCTTGTGTCCAGGGGCCCCGGGAGGCATTGGGAGACTCACAAATGCCGTGGTGTACTGGTTGAGCATGAAGTCCCCGCTGACGGCGTGCTGAAAGGCCTCCACGGCGAAGGCTGGGGGTGGGAAGTCGGGAAAGCCTTGGCCCAAGTTCACAATATCGTCCTCACTGGACAGTTTGATAAACTCCACCCTGGGGAACAAATGGAGAGTTGGCCGGCCCACCCCTCCACCCCGACCTGGATTTCCACCTGTTTCCAGGACAAAGAGCAATGCACTGGGCTCATTCTAGAACAACTGGACAACTAGCATCTGCCCTGGCCTGAAGGTCTGTGGAGGCTCAGGACTTGTCCCACACTTTTTTTTTTTGAGGAAGATTAGCCCTGAGCTAACATCTGCATCTGCTGCCAATCCTCCTCTTTTTGCTGAGGAAGACTGGCCCTGAGCTCACATCCGTGCCCATCTTCCTCTACTTTACATGTGGGACACCTGCCACAGCATGGCTTGCCAAGCAGTGTCATGTCTGCACCCGGGATCCGAATTGGCGAACCCCGGGCCGCCGAAGCAGAATGTGCAAACTTAACCGCTGGACCACCAGGCCAGCCCCTGGTCCCACGCTTTGAGATTAGGTGGGCCAGGGACTGTGCCAATGACTTGTCTCAGCCCGGGGGCTTTCAAACTCTTGACCATGATCCATCATCTTTACATCCCAAACCCTGGAGAGCACAAACATGGAATCAGCATTATCCTTCTGGCGTGATCTGCAGTATTTCCAACCCTATCCTACGCTGTTTAGAAATACTTGTTGAGACCCTCTAAGTGGATTGCATGACCCCTTAATGCATTTGTCAACACCACAGTTTGAAATGCGTGCTCACATAACCTTCCAGTAGTCTCTGGGGCACATCCTGTTCCTCAGTCACAATGGGAAGGGAGAAACTGAGGTTCGGGGTGACGTCCCAAGGGCTCCTGGTTAGTGCACGGCACAGCCAGCCTTTGATTCCGTCTGTCTGAAGCCAAGTTTATGCTCTTGACCTTTACCCTGGATAGAATGGGTCCCCACCAGCCCTGCCATCTGCCATCTCTGGCCCCCAACAATCTTTCTTCTGGCCCTGCCTGGTGGCCAATTCTTCAGGGAAACTGGGAGACAGGCTGAGACGCTGGATGAAGGGCTGGTATGTGCTGTGAGGTTGGTTGAGGGCAGAGGAGTCAGGCTGGGCTGAGTTGAATTTGCATAACAATAAATATCATTATATCTAAAATTGGTCATTTTCTCCCCAGAGCTTCACAATGTCTCTGAAGACACACAGCTGCTGAGGCTCAGAGAGGCCGGTGGCCTGCACAGAGTCACACAGCAGCTAACGGCACAGCCGAGGTAGAAAATCAGGTGGTGGATGTTTCATGGTGGTTGGGACAGGGGAGCCAGGCTCAAAGGCCCTAGAGAGACTGGCTGGCCTCTAGGTAGGGTCTCTAGGGTCCTGATCCTAAGGCCACCACCCTGGGGCCAGCAGGAACCTGGGATCTTCCTTTGCCCTGACTCTCACGGCCCTCATCCCTCCTGACACTCCCCTCCTGTCCCGTGCATTCCTCCCAGGCTTGGTCCCACTCTGCCCTGCCTCTGCATGAGACTTAGACTCCCCTGGCCTCGGTCTTCCCCTCTGCACAGTGGGGGTGAGGGGGTCGCATCTGCCGGGTCTGTGGGCCAGGACAGGTTCTTGCTGCCTCTCCCAGCCATCTCCTCGTCTCCCCACTCTGAGTTGGACTTTACCTTATCTGCAAAATGGGCCACAAGGCTGCCCAGCCTCTTCAGAGAGAGGACAGAGGATGGCAGCCTGCGGATCAGGACCCCGGAGGCCCAACCTATAGGGCAGCCGGATCCATAGGGCCTTTGGGCCTTGCTCCCTCTGTCCCAAAGCCCCAAAAGCCACGAGACATCAAAGGAGAAGATGGAGGTGGAAGATCTTTGCAAAACACAAGTGCTGTCCATGAGGAGAGTTTGAAAGAAAAAATGGTCCCATTTTTTGTAGAAACAAAGAGCAATATATTTTTTTTTTTGAGGAAGATTAACCCTAACTACTGCCAATCCTCCTCTTTTTGCTGAGGAAGACTGGCCCTGAGGTAACATCCGTGCCCATCTTCCTCTCCTTTATATGTGGGACGCCTACCACAGCATGGCTCTTGCCAAGCAGTGCCATGTCCACACCCAGGATCCGAACCGGCGAATCCTGGGCTGCTGAGAAGTAGAACGTGCGAACTCAACCACTGCGCCACCAGGCCGGACCAGCAATAATTTTTTTAAAGTGTAGAGGTGTCTATGTTCCTGGCCAAAGGCGGGGGGAGTGGGAAGATCATTAAATCTTTCTTATGCATCTTCCCACTGCGTCTACTGTGTCACTAGTAACAACGGGCACGTATGCCTTCTGTGTTTGGAACAAGTCAATGAAGGAAAGACGGTAACCTCTGCAAAGGTCTGGGAGGAGCTGCATGTATCTCACCTTCTTAGCTTACTGAGCTCACCCTACTCTGTACTGAGTGTGGAAGAGAATCACCCCTGGAAAGCCCTCAGCCTGGTGCCTGGGTACTGGCGATGGCTGTCATACAGCATTTCACCTTATCCTCCCAAGGCCCTTCAATTGAAATCGAATTATCTCCATTGCGCAGCTGGGGGGCCAAGGCTCAGAGCAGGTGCCTTTTCAGCCCCAGCGCCACAGCCAAGCAGGGTGAAGCTGAGGTTCGGACTGAAGCCTGTTGTTTCGGGTCTCGCCTCTCCCGCCCTGTGGCTGCAGGGCTCTGGCTGCAGCTCTCACAGTCCAAGTACTGCAGCTGCTCCGGGTACCACTGAGTCCCTGCAAACCCAAGGACCGCCAGCCCCTTCCCGCCCCTGCACCCAAGGGGACAGCCAGGCACCTCCCCAGCCCTGCCCGCCTCACCAGGGGTTGTAGTCAATCCCGTCCAGCCTTCGAGCCTGCAGCCTTTTCGCCATGGTGAGCTGGAGACAGAGCAGTGGAAAGTCAGAGTGGGAGGGGCAGCAGCCTCGCTGGCCCTGGGAGACGGCTGTTTTCTGACTGCAGCCTCAAGCTGTCCACTCGCAGGGAGGAGGCGGCCCTCAGCGCTCCCCAGGTAGCAGGGCAGCCTCGAGCCTGCCTCCCCAGAACCTGTCCCTGCTCCCTGAGCCCCCGTCCCCACTAAGCCCCTGCACCTGTCCCTGCCGGCCCCCGCACCTGCTCCTCCTCATTCACCAGCCTTGACTTGCCCATCTGCCAGCGCGGGCTCCACATGTCCTGACATGCACAGCCCGGATTCAGTGGGGTTAAAGTTTGACCCAGGACGGGCTGGAGGCTGAGGAGGAGGAGAGGGAGGAAGGAGGATGTGGGGGAGCGGGGGAGAGATCCTAGCAACAGTGACAGCAGCAGCTTCCCTTTATAGAGGTCTGGCTAAGCTCTTCCATTTACTTCTCAGAACACTCTGATGGGCCCATTTTATAGAGGAGAAAATCGAAGGGGGAGGGAGGGGAGTGATGTGTTCAAGGTCACCCAGCAAATACACTCAGACTCAGGCCTGAGACAAGGCACATTCTGACTCAGGGAAAGGGGATCCTTGCTCAGTCCTGGGGGGCTCAGGGGCCCTCCTCCAAGCTGGCCCCTCCCCTCCTCTATGTTCCTTCTAGGCCAGCTTTCCCCTCATCAACAGGTGCGCAGACACTGGCCAGGCCTGACGGCTGCCAAACTCGGGTCCTAAGCCCGCCTTGGCTGGGTGACATTGGACAGGTGACTTTGCTCCTCCTGGCCTCAGTCTCCCCATCAGTACAATAGGTGCACGGACTTCCCGTCCCTGGGAGCTCCGCTCCTGCAGGCGGGTGGGTCTCAGACGGCTGGCAGAGGGTGGGGCCCGGGCTCTGGTGTTCTCCTCAGCCGCCTGCTGTGGCTAACACTGAGCCCTTCCTGCTTCTCATGCTCTTGCTAGGTTCCCACAGCACCCCTCTCAGAGGTGCTCTGATGATCCCGATCTGAAGATGAAGACACGGAGGCTCAGAGAGGTTCAGGGACCTGCCCAAGGTCGGAGGAGGAGCTGGACAGGACCCTGGTCATGGGGGCGGCAACACAGGCCTGGGGACTGTCTGTATATGGGCCAGGTTCTTCCATAGCCTAGGGGTCCTGCTCATGTGAGCGCTGCGCAGAGCCCAGCCGGGGGCCTGGCACCTAGTGGGCGCACTGCCAACATTGCCAGCCCTGTCCCTTCACTGGATCCCTGACAGGATCACCAGGCCTGGCACTCATTACACGTTGAAATAGTTTTTTTTCTTTTTTATAAGATTGGCACCTGAGCTAACAACTGTTGCCAATCTTTTTTGTTTTTTTCTGCTTTTTTTCTCCCCAAAGCCCCCTAGTACATAGCTGTATATTTTAGTTGTGGGTCCTTCTAGTGTGGCATGTGGGACACCACCTCAACATGGCCTGATGAGCAGTGCTAGGTCCGCACCCAGGATCCAAACCAGTGAAACCCTGGGCCGCCAAAGCAGAGCACATGAACTTAACCCCTCGGCCACGGGGCTGGCCCCCAAGATGCTTTAAAATGAGGGTGATCTCTGCCAGGGAGAATCACGTTATCCCCAAAATGTGAGTTAACGGTGATTACCTTTGGTTGTTTGGTTAACAAATATTTTTTCTTCTCTATAATTTTCTTATTTTCCAAGTTTTCTAAAATAAACGTTTTAGTTTCATGATTAAAAAATGTGGGAGAGGGGCTGGCCTTAGCAACTCACTGGTTAAGTTCGGCACACTCCACTGCTTCCTGGGCGTGGACCTATGCCACTCATCAGTGGCCATGCTGTGGTGGTGACCCACATGCAAAAAAGAGAATAGCACAGATGTTAGCTCAGGGCAAATCTTCCTCAGCAAAAAAAAAAAAAAAAAAAAAAAAAGTGGGAGAAAATCACATTTTAGGAGAATATTTATCAATGTGATATACTGATATCAATAAAATAGGCTACAAAATAGTGTGTACAGTATGATTATATTTTAATCATAAAAATATACCCTGATATACATAATTTTTTCTACGACCATATATGAATAGGAAAAAAAAGTCTGGAAGGAAATATATCTAAAATGTTAAGTTCTCTCTGAGTGGTGGAATTATAGGTGATTTAGCTGCATGTGTGTGCTTCTCTATGTTTCCAAGTTTTTTGGACAGAGACCACACCCATATTTGATCGATTCTGATACATGCATTCTTTCGCATTGTCCTTTCTCTGAATTCAGACGTGTCTTACGATGTATAGCATGAGTTTCACTGGCATCTCCTTCCCTTACTAGTTCATAAAATAACAGTGCATTTACAAGTGACGGCATCACGGATTCAAAGACGTAAGGAATTACTTTCGAATTGCGGATGCATGATATTAAAAGAAAAATAAAGTGAACATGAGCTGGGGCAGTGAGGGGAGGTGGGGGATAGAAGTGAAGTGAGGGAAGTTTGAGGAGGGTGGGGTGGGGAAGGAGTAGAGGGGTGCAGAGGCACAGAGAGAGGCAGAACAAAGGAGGCAAACAGAGTTGAAAGTGTTTAGGAAGGAGATACAAATAATGCGGGAACTCCAGAACCTTGGGGTGCTCAAAGAAGTGACCTTCAAATACGTGCCATGGAGAAGTGAGGAAACAGTGCCTGTTCCTGGGCTTATGCATAATGTATTCATTCAGTCACCATTTATTGAGTACAAACTGTGTAGCGAACACTGGGCTGGGCACAGGGGATGGTGGGGAGGCAGCAGCACCAAGTCGACTACTCAGATGCAAGAATGCAAGTTCTAGACTAGAGGCAAGGGCAAGGTAGGGGCCACACCCAGGCTGCAGTCAGGGAAGGCTTCCTGGAAGAGAAGGCTCATGCACAGCTTTGAAGCCAGGACCAAGCCAGATCCCAGGAGCCCCAGGTTGTGCAGGGGGCAGAGCAGCTGGGGTTAGAACACTTACAGTCTGGTGAAAGCACTGGGTGAGGGAAGCTCCAGTCTTCTTTCCCCGGAGGGGCCCCACCAGGTGCAAACAGATGGCTGCCACATTCTTGAACATGCCTCCCAAAGCCACGGGCACTGACAACTCCTCCTCCACAGGGAAAGGAGAAGGGAAGAGAATGTCCCGGCCAGAGAATGGCTCTGAGTCCAGGACCTGGGTCCCAGACACAGCAATCATAACAACCACAACAAGGGCTAATATTTATTGCGTGGTCACTGTGCACCAGGCATGGCCACAAGTGCTTTGTTGTAGGATTATCCCTCAGTCCTCAAAAACCCCCTGAGACCCCCTCCCCCACCAGCAACCAGAGTGACCTTTTCAAAACGTACATCACCTCTAATGAAAAAAATCATCCAGATGAAGATCCTGGATGGCCCCTCGCATCACAGAGAGAGTTGACCCTACGCCATGTTCTGACTCTGAAAACATACACACCACCTGCAAATTATTCCTGTGCTAAAACCAAATCTAAATCACATCGTGATCATGCCTCTGAGTTACCAAAATACAAGGGACAGAAGAACATGTTAAATGACACCACGCAGATGCAATCAACAAATTCAGAATGATGGAAAGTCTATAGAATAAATGACCCTGTTTCTTCAACAAATAAAGGGAAAGGGGAAAAAATGTCCAGGGCACTAGATTAAAAGAACTTAGACATATATAAAAAACTGAATGCCTTGAAAAAGAATAAAAATGTTGGAGGACCCACTGTGCAACTTCAAAGCTTACCAAAAAGCTACAGGCACTGAGAAGGTGTGGTAGCAACATAAGGACAGACATATAAGTCAATGGAACAGAACTGAGAATCCAGAAATAAACTCTCTCACATTTATAGTCAATTGCTATTTAACAAAGGTGCCAAGAAAATTCAATGAGGAAAGAACAGTTTTTTCAACAACTGGTGCTGGGACAACTGGGTATCCACACAAAAAAGAATGAATTTGGACCCCTACCTCACACCATACACAAAAATTAACTCCAAGTGGATCACAGACCTAAATAGAAGAGCTAAAACTTTATATAAAACTCCTGGAAGAAAACCGGAGTAAATCTTGGTGACCTTGAGCTAGGAGATACAACACCAAAAGCACAAGAAACAAAAGAAAAAATAGATATACTGAACTTCATCAGAACTGACAACTTTTGCTTTTCAAAGGATACCATCAAGAAAGCGAAAAGACAACCCGTGGTATGGGAGAAAATATTTGCAAATCATAAATCTGAATTTCTCCAAAGAAGATATATAAATGGCTAATAAGCACATGAAAAGATACTCAACCTCATTAGTTATTGGGGAAATGCCTTATCAAGATACCACTTCAGAGCCCGCCCTGATGGCCAAGCAGCTAAAGTTTGGCGTGCTCCACTTCGGTGGCCCGGGTTTGGTTCCCAGCACATGGAACTACACCACTCATCTGTCAGTAGCCATGCTGTGGCGGCAGCTCACACAGAAGAACCAGAAGAACTTACACATGCAACCACAAGAAGTACATATGCAACTATGTCCTGGGGCTTTGGGGGCGGGGGGAGAAAAAAGAGGAAGACTGGCAACAGATGTTAGCTTAGGGTGAATCTTCCCATACAAAAAAAAAAAAAAGATACTACTTCATATCCATTAGGATGCTGTAACAAATAAGATGGATAATTATAAGTGTTTTGAGGATGTTGAGAAATTGGAACTTTTTTTCTCTTTTTGCTGAGGAAGATTGCCCTGAGCTAACATCTGTGGCAATCTTCCTCTATTTTATGTAGGATGCCTCCACAGTGTGGCTTGACAAGTGATGCTAGGTCTGCACCTGGGATCTGAACCTGTGAACCCCGGGCCACTGAAGTGGAGCATGCAAACTTAATCACTATGCCACCGTGCTGGCCCCCAATCTTCCTCTTTTTTTGCTTGAGGAAGGTTAGCCCTGAGCTAACATCCACACCAATCTTCCTCTATTTTTTTGTGGGACACCTCCACAGCATGGCTCATGAGTGGAGTAAGTCTGCGCCTGGGATTCGAACCCACGAACCCTGGGCAGCTGATGTAGAGTGTTTGGAACTTTAACCACTTGGCAACCAGGCAGGGCTCGAGAGACTAGAACTCTTGTATGTTCTTTCTGGAAAAGTAAAATGGTGTAGCTGGTGTGGAAAACAGTCTAGAAGTTCCTCAAAATGTTAAACATAGAGTCAGTCTATGACCCAGCAATTTCCCTCCTTAGCATATACATAAGAGAAATGAAAACATATGTCCACACAAAAACTTGTCTGTGAATGTTCATAGCAGCATTATTCCTAAAAGCCCCAAAGTGGAAACAATCTACCTGTCTACCAGTTGATGGACATCACTTGACAAACGAAATGTGACAAATCCATACAGTGGAACGTCGTTCAACAGTAAGAGGGTAGGAAGCACTGATCCATGCCACAACTTGGATGAACCTTGAGAACATACGCTAAGTAAAAGAAGCAAGGCACAAAAGATCATGAGTGTATGATGCCATTTATATGAAACAGGCAGGTCCGTAGAGGCTTAATAGTGATCGCCTTGGGCTGGGAGTGGGTGTCGAGGGGTGGGAATGCGGAATGACTGCTAATGGGTGCAGAGCATCTTTTTGGTGTGATGAAACTGTTTTAGAACTAGATTGTGGTGATGGCTGCATAAATGTGAATACACTAAAAACCACCGAATGGTACACTTTAAATGGTTGAATTATACGGCGGATGTATTATTATATCCCAATAAAGCTGTTTTTAACAATTCCCAAGCTTTGGGGGAAAAAAAGGCAGTGCCCTTGTGGTGGCCATGGGAATGTGTCGCTCTGACTGCCAGGAGCCTAACGGACGGACGGAGGGGACGGCTGCGCTCAGAAACCCAACCCCAGTCCTCAGCACTGAGGCCAGGCTCTCACGGGCTGCTCCAGCCAGTGCCTGAGGGACTCTCCAAGACGCTCAGTGGCTTTGCCGGAACTTTCTGAGAACGGCACCTCAGTCTGAGACTTCTCCTTCCAGCCTTTCTTCCTCCCTTCTCTCCTCCAAGGGGGTCAGAGCACAGCCCTCAAAAAGGAGTGGGTGTTGGAGGTTGGGGTGGGGGGCGTTCTAGATTCAGAGACTAAAGGGTCACAATAAGCAAAGGCAGCATGTGAGTCTTAACTGGATTCTGGACTGGCGATGACAACAACAACAATGAAAGCCCACAAAACACAGTTTTGGGACAACTGGAGAAATCTGAATGTGGCCTGCATATCAGGTGACACAACAGACTCAATGGCCAACTTCTCTGGTGCGACAATGTGGGCGGGTTACATAGGGGACGGTGTTCTCAGGAGGCACATGCTCAAGTACTCAGAGGGGAAGTGTCAGGATGTCTGCAACTTGCTTTCAAAAGATTTAGCCAAGAAGACATTTCTCTACAAAGGCAGGGCAGGGAAGACAGAGACATGGGCAAATGGGGTGAAATGTTACCTAGTGGTGAATCCGGGGGGTAGGCACACACGCGGCCACTGTCTGGTTCTTTCGCCTTTCCTGTATGTCCAGCTTTTTCAATAAGCCGAGAGGGAAAAGAGGCAACGTCCAGACCTCGTCTGGGATAGTGATGCAAAGACGCGCGATTCTGACTGGTGCTGCCCTCAGTATAAGTCTCTGCTTTAGGGAGCTGCACCTATGACAAACACTGAACTAAAAGACGCTAAGGTGGGGCCGGCCCGGTGGCGCAGCGGTTAAGTGTGCACGTTCTGCTTTGGCGGCCCGGTGTTTGCTGGTTCAGATCCTGGGTGCAGACATGGCACTGCTTGGCAAGCCGTGCTGTGGCAGGCATCCCACATAGAAAGTAGAGGAAGATGGGCACGGATGTGAGCTCAGGGCCAGTCTTCCTCAATAAAAAGAGGAGGATTGGCGGTAGATGTTAGCTCAGGGCTAACATTCCTCAAAAAAAAAAAAAAAGTCGCTAAGGTGCTTATTTTCTTGTCAGGCTCTTAAGGAAGGTTTGTAAAGTTTGGTAACTGACTGAGTAAGAAGGGTTACAGGAGAGGGAGGAACAAGCTGAGAGAGAGAGAGAGAGACAGCAAGCACGCACACAGTGGGCATTGTGGGTGGAGAAAACCCCACCACTGCTCTGAGGAACCAGAGGAAAAGCGCTGCTTGGTGGGCTCCATTGTGGCCCCACAAACGGGAGGGGCAGGTCTGATGGGACAGACGTCAACAGTGACCGGGCATCCTACGATAGGAAGGGATCATTAACTTTTTAGGTGTGCTAATGGTATTGGGGATTTCTTTCTTCCTTTTTAATAGTCCTTATATTTTAGAGATATATCCTGAAGTATTTATGACATAATATCTGAGATTTGCTTCAAAATAATCCAGAACGATCCAGATGGAGGAGGTAGAATGAAGATGGGCCATGAATGGAGACTGGAGGGTCAGGATGCTCGACTCTCACCTGTTTATATTTGGAATGTTCCATCCTCATGAGATGGAAGTCAGAGCCACAACATGGAAGGAGCCCGAGCCCCTCGTGATGGAGGAAACTTCCCCCCCTCTGGAGTTAGTTGAGAAGAAAGCAAGTGAGAGAGAGAGTTAGATCTTGTTTAAGCTACTGTTATCTTGGTTTCTCTTTCATTCACAGCAAACCAGGCCTGACTGATAAACCCTGTCAGTGCCCTCAGCCACAAGCCACCAGGAGCACAGCTGTGACTGAAAAAGTGCAGCGAGGGCAAGCGCACACAGGGAGCCATGGCACGTCTCAGTAAGAGGGTGCTAGAACGTACAGGGTTAGGACTTGGCGGGGAGTGATTTGGGGGAGGTTCTATAGCAGCCAGCATCAGCAATCTTTTTCCGTACAGGGCCAGAGTAAAACGTCAGGCTTTGTAGGACATACAGCCTCTTTCACAGCTTCTCAACTCTGCCGCTGTAGCAGGAAGGTAGCCTTCGCGTGTAAACAGATGAGCGTGTTTGTGTTCCAACAACCCTGCATTTACAAACACCAGGGGCAGACTGGATTTGCACCGAGGGTGCCCCCTGGAGTTTTTAACTCTCAGATCTGTTCACACCGAGCTTCCAGCACTTTGTCAGCCTCAGTTTAGGGTTCCTACTCCCTCGCTGGTCCCTGCGGAGGTTTCTGCTCCTGCGGGTTGTGATTCTCTGAATCTGCCTGTCTGTCTCTCCAGTTCCAGGGGCAGCGGTTTGCCCTGTGACCTCACTTCTCTGATGGAACCAGGAAGAGGGCAATTTCTCAGTTTGTTCAGCTTTTCACTTGTAAGGACAGACTGACGACTTCCAAGCTCCAGACACGCAGGGCTGGAAACCGAAGTCCAATAGAACCTACCTATTCACAAGATTTCATAACTATCAGTATAATGCTCTAATGTCATTATAGAGGAGAAATAAAGGAAAGTAATGTATAACCCAATAATGTATATTTTAGTATGTAAAT